TTTAAGAGACAAGCGTTTCACTCTGTCACCCAGATTGGAATGCAGTGGCATGATCTCAGCTCACTGCAACCTCTGCCTCCTAGGTTCAAGTGATTCTCGTGCCTCTGCCTCCTAAGTAACTGGAATTACAGGCACTCATCACCACACCTGGGTACTTTCTGTATTTTTAGTAGAGATGGGGTTTCGCCACGTTGGCCAGGCTGGTCTCCAACTCCTGACCTCCAGTGATCTGCTTGCCTTGGCCTCCCAAAGTGCTAGGATTACAGGCATCGGCCATCTCGCCTGGCCCCCTCTTCCCGTTTAAGCACTGCCACATATTAGATCTGCGAAGGCATTACTGATACAATCCAAGGAAGATGAAACTTGGGCTGGTGGGATAAAACTAAGCACATGTAGTTAGAATGGAATGATCTGGAAGCCAGGTCCCAGGTTGGTGGAAATTAGACTCATGTTGACTATGTCACACTGTAAACCAGTCTAAATGCTGATAAGCATGCTTGATCAAACACTGCCCTGCAGCCTGCAGAGAGGAAGAAGAAAAACATAATTTGTATCTTCTCTCCCTATTTTCTGAGTCTATGGGATTCAAATTGTAGCTGCCATGGAAACTGTACTTTGGAATTTCTGGAGCCCTTAATTTTAACTTAAGATATAAAAACACTTTTGTACTGATTTTATAATTATTCATGATGGATGAGAAAGTGAATGTCTTTGACAGTGAGGGAAGAAGCTATATGAACGCTTTTTTCTTTTTTTTTCTTTCATAAAGATGCATATATTTGCATGCTTTATTTACCTGGGGATAACTCTTGCATCTTTTGCAGATTCCGACACCATAGCTGAGTTACAGGAGCTCCAGCCTTCGGCAAAGGACTTTGAAGTCAGAAGTCTTGTAGGTTGTGGTCACTTTGCTGAAGTGCAGGTGGTAAGAGAGAAAGCAACTGGGGACATCTATGCCATGAAAGTGATGAAGAAGAAGGCCTTATTGGCCCAGGAGCAGGTAGGAGCATTTTAACATCACGCTTTTCCACTTTCCGTACCAGAGTGTTCATTGTAAAGACAATAAATCTGCTGCACTTAGATTGAGCAAGCTTTCCTCTGTGGCTCTATATTTAATTATGGTTGGGGCAAAAAGGTCTCTCGTGTTCTTAGCTCATCTTCTTGAACTGATATTGGCTAATTTTGAAGACTCACAAATTCCTCTTGATTTATCATGTTTCTATGGTTGTATTTTATTTCAGAACCAAGTTGGCTTTTTAACTAATGAATTTAAGACGATCTTTTATGACCACTAGCTGGGGACTCAGAATATACATATGGTGGGGTGAATCAGGTTGCTTTTGCACATGCTTTAGATATTTGTGTTGTGGGCATATGGATTTGGTTTTAAAACAGGCCTTTGAAGAAATCAAATAAAAGTCTTTGTCATATGGCTAGGCAGTTGCTTGAGAGCAGGTAGAACATTATATTTTTGATTGTGGTATTTTTCTTTCTTTTAAACAAGGCTGCTATCTCTAGACATATTGATTCATTTGCTGTGTTTTAGAGAGATGGCCATCAGCCTTGGAATTCAGAGAGTAATTTATTACTTACAGACATTTTAGTGCACATGATGTGTCTGATAATGTACCCAGCCCTGCAGGAAGCTTGCAAAAGGAATAGAAGTCCCATGGCTGTTATTTTCAGAGTTTAAAAACAACCTTGGAAAGTGGAGGAAAAATGCAAATGTATAAAGCAGGTGACTACCAGCTAAAGTATCACAGAAGCAGGACAGCAATTAGCAAATTAATTAACGGTGATGTGAGGGGAGATGCTGTGGGTGAGCAAGGGACAGTTAGGGACAGTTAGGGACAGTTCTCACTGATGGGAGGAAATGTAGGTTCTGGGCAGCGAGAAGTGAGGAGAACATGTTGGGTAGAAGTGTGACATTCTGGAGTACTAGAATGCTATGCAAGTGTGTGTGTGGGGGTGTGTGTGTGTTCAGTGGTTCAGAACAGACTGGGAAATGGCGAAATGAGGACATTTGGATGGGGAGGGGGAAACGGGTGGGAAACTCAAGAACTTTTTTAAAAAAATTGTGGTAAAATATATATAACATAAAGTGTACCATTTTAACCATTTTAAAATGTGCAACTGAGTGGTATTCAGTGCATTCATGATTTGTACAACCATGACCACTCTCCATTTCCAGAGCTTTTCTACCAAACGGAAACTCTATCCATTATACAGTATGTCTGCATTCCCCCAAGAACCAGTCTTTGAACTGTGGTTTACTTTGTGAGGCCGTTGGGGATTATTTAGGCCTCTGGAAGGAGAAGGTTCGGATCAGAGTCTGGCCCTGTGGACTTCAGTGACTTTGTATGGCCTCCAATCAGAGAAGCAGTGGAGGGCAGGAAGCTGCTTGTCAGAATCTGAGAGTGATGTGGCTTTTGTGTTTAGGAATAAAATGTGAGCCACATAATAGAAAGGAAAAGTGACAGGACATGGCAGATAATTTGGAAGAGAAGAGTGGAAGATGCTCATTCAGCCTCCCAGCTCTGAGAAAGAACTATGCCTCATCAGTTCACACTATCTGAGCATCTGCTGTATCTGGTATATTTCTAGGTCCTTGGGAAGAGGCATTAAATGTAGCCCTGACCTTGTGATGCTTATGTTTTCGATGGGAAATAGTGCGTGTAAAAACAAAATAATCCAACAGACCACATGGCAGGCAAATAATAGAGATACTCAAATAGGTGCGCCTTCCTCCAGGCGAATGGCCTGAAATGACTGTGTGGAAGTGTGGGCTGGGGGCTTATAAAATTACGCACATACAGGCGCTAACTAAAGCCGCCTATTCATTCCTTAAGAGGATACATTTAAAAGAAAAGTAGGGTCCTTAACGGAGCCATGGGGAGGATTTGGAGTTTAAGGGCATGAGAGGAGAGAGGCCAGCACAAGGAGTGAAGGAAAGGACGTGCCGGAGAGGAGGGAGGGGTGCTGTTCTGTAAACAAAACCTGCAACCTGGCAGAGGCCCGCACACCCACCCAGGGCTCTGTGACAACTGGAAGGGGTCCTCAGAGACTGTTTGTATTATCTTAGAGACAGGGTATCACTGTTATTCATACTTGAATGTAGTGGCGTGGTCATAGCTCTCTGTGTCCTCAAACTCCTGGGCTTAAATGATCCTCCCACCTCAGCCTCTCAAGTAGCTGGGACCATAGGCATGTGCTGCCACATCCAGTTAACTTTATTATTATTTGAGACAGAGTCTTAACTCTGTCGCCTAGACTAGAGTGCAGAGGCTTGATCTCGGCTCACTGAAATCTCTGCCTCCTGGGTTCAAGCAATTCTCCTGCCTCAGCAACCTGACTAGCTGGGATTACAGGTGGCTAATTTTTGCATTTTTAGTAGAGACGAGGTTTCACCATGTTGACCAGGCTGGTCTTGAATTCCTGACCTCAAATAATCCTCCCACTTCGGCCTCCCGAAGTGCTGGGATTACAGGTGTGAGCCACCAGGCCTGGCCAACAGTCACAAATTTATAGAAAAGTTGTAAGTACAGTATAGTCAGGGTTCTTAAGAGAAATGGAACCAGCAGCATATGTGTGTGTGTGTGTGTGTGTATATATATATATATAATCATCTCCTGGATTGTAAGTTGACACATAAGACTAACCATCACATACAGTATAAACAACTTTTTTTCTTGAACCATTTGATATATACACACACTGAATATATACATATAAACACAGAATGTATATATACATAGAATATATATGCATACAGAATATGTATACAGAAATATATATGTATACATGCATAGACTATATTTACATATATATGCATATATATATATATATTTTATGCAGTTGATTTACACAGGTGTGTTTTTTTTTTTTTTTTTGAGACAGGGTCTCTCTCTGTTGCCCAGGCTGGAGTGTAGTGGTGAGATCTCAGCTCACTGCAACCTCTGCCTCCCTGGTTCAAGTGATCCTCTTGCCTCAGCCCCCTGAGTATTGTGCTACCATGCCCAGCTAATTTTTGTATTTTTCAGTAGAGATGGGGTTTCACCATATTGGGCAGGCTGGTCTCGAACTCCTGACCTCAAGTGATCTGCCCGCCTCTGTCTCCCAAAGTGCTGAGATTACAGGCATGAGCCACCATGCCTGGCCCCCATAATGTTTTTTAGAATAAAATGATCAGGTTGAGGATCACACGTGGCACTTAGTTGTCCTGTCTCTTTAGTCTCCTCCAGTCTGGAGTAGTTCTTTGATTTTTTCTGGACTCTCATGACCTTGACAATTCTGATGATTATAGGCCAGTTATTTTGTAAAATGTGGATTTGTCTGATGTTGCTCATGTTTAGATTCAGGGTCTAGATCTTTGGCTGAAATATCAGACTAGATGCTTTGTTCTTGCTGCATCCGAGCAGATGACTCTCAGTTTGTTTGTCACATTAATGTTGATGCTCACTTCGATCACTTGATTAGGGTGGTGCCAGCTATGCTTTTCCACCTGTGGAGTTACTTCTTTCTCCTTCGTAATTTTATTTATTTAATTTTTTTTAGAGACAGGGTCTTGCTTGGTCATCCAAGCTGGAGTGCAGTGGTACGATCTTGGCTCACTGCAGCCTTGAACTCCTGGGCTCAAGTAATCTACCTGCCACAGCCTCCTGAGTAGCTGGGACTATAGGCATGCATTACCACACCTGGCTACTTTTTGTATTGTAGAGATGGGGTCTCACTATGTTGCCCAGGCTGGTCTCTAACTCCTGGCCTCAAGCAATCTTCCTGCTTTGGCCTCCCAAAGTGTTGGGATTACAGGCATGAGACACTACCCCCAGCCCCCTTTGTAATTAAAAAAGTATTCTGTGGGGAGTTACTTTCAAATGATGGAAATACTTATATCTATGTGGACTTGCATTTTCCTGTTTCAGTCAGTGAGTTACAATCCATTTCTGTTGCTACTTTTTTTTTTTGAGATGGAGTCTCACTCTGTTGCCCAGGCTGGAGTGCAGTGGTGTGATCTTGGCTCACTGCAACCTCTGCCTCCCAGGTTCAAGCGATTCTCCTGCCTCAGCCTCCCGAGTAGCTGGGACTGCAGGTGCATGCCACTACACCTGGCTAATTTTTTGTATTTTTTAGTAGAGACAGGGTTTCACTGTGTTGCCCAGGCTGGTCAAGAACTCCTGATCTCAAGCAATTTGCCTGCCTCAGCTGGGCCTGGTGGCTCATGCCAGTAATCTGTCACTACTTTTATACTTGAATTGTTTCCTGCTTTGTGATTTAGCACGTTTTTCGGTTTGTTTTTGTGCTTTTACTTTCTCTGCCCTGGCTCTAGCATCAGTCATTTCTCAGAGGAGCCCTATTCCTTTCAATGGACAGTGGTGTTTAGAGGCCAAGATCTGGGTACTGGGTGTTTTCATTGTTACTGGGGTGTCACTGCTCCCAGACCCCTTTCAGTGGATAGCACTAAGGAATACACACGTATGTATATACAATATATCTACCTATACATGCATGTATGCACACACATACACATGCACACATACATTTACATCTCTATTTGTGTATCTATCTCTATATATTGAAACCCGTGGCTGGGCACAGTGGCTCATGTCTTTAATCTCAGCATTTTGGGAGGCTGAGGCAAGAGGAATCACTTGAGGCCAGTAGTTCAAGATCAGCTTGGGAAACATAGCAAGACTCTATCTCTACAAAAATAAAAAAGGAAAACCATAAGTTGACACCAGTACCCCAATTCCAATTCAACTTCAGGGTTCATTTTAGTTTTCATCCTTTCCATGTTTGCAATTCTCTTCTCTGACATTGTAGCCTTAATATATTTACTTATTTTATGTCTGTGTGCATCCAGTCTACTATCTCTTTTGCTATCCCACCTCCCCTTGGTGGGTCCAAATAATCTGCTCTGGGTTGCCCTTTCACATGGATGTCTTTCTCACTCTGTGTGGATCCATGATATTGGGCTGCCCCCCGCACATGGTTGCTGCCCTCCTCACGTTGCTTGGGACTGGCACCCTGTCCTGGGCCACCATGACTCTCCCCATAACCAGCATGGATGCTTACCTTGTTCCACACCAGCGAATGGCTTTAGGACTGAATTGTTCAGGAAGAGAAGAAGAAGAGAAAAATATTTACATTTAAAGGAAGGGAGTTTAAAGAAATATGTTAGGTAAAGAATTAAGCAGGTAATATACGGAGCTGGCAAAAATTGTGACCAAAGTAGGTGAATGATTGAGACTTAGGTAGTTCTGGGCTAAGTGACAGCCCCTCCCTCCCTCCCTTCCTTCCCTCTCCTTCCTCCCTCCCTTCCCTCTCCTTCCTCCCTCCCCTCCCTCTCTTCCCTCTCTCTCCTCCCTCTCCTCCCTCCCTCCCCTCCCTCTC